GCGGAGGGGGTGAGGGACACAGGAGTGAGCCGGTAACACCCCGGAGGCGGTCAGGCCTCGCCGCTGAGGGTTCACCACCCGTTGTCCGGCTGCGTGGGTTGTGTGGTCTGACATATCGATCAGATCACCGTTTCCTTTCTTGCTTTAACCCTCGCTTGAGGATGCTTTTATTGGCTTTCAGAGAGAAGGGAACTGGGAGAGAAGCACTGATGTGGGAGAGAAGTATCGATCAGTTGCCTCCCGTATGCACCCCAACTGGGGACCAAGCCCCAACCCAAGGCTGTGCCCCGACAGGGAATCGAACCCACAGCCTTTCTCTGTCCAGGACGACGCTCCCATCAGCCGAGACACCGGCCGGGACTTCGGCCTGGTTTTCCGCAGGGAGGTCCTTTAAGTTGTCAGGCCCAGGGACCCGCTCCCTGTGGACGGGACCAGCTGCCTCCCGGAGCGGACACCTCCCCTGGGTTCCTGCTCCTGCCAAAGTGTGACCCCAGAGCCCTCCCTCCAGCCGAGCTGCTGACCGGCACCCTTCCCCCTGCAGGAATTCATCATCCACTCCCCCGACTTTGAAGCCGCCAAATTCTGGGTCGGCAACATGGGCAAGACGGCGACGCACGCGGTGGTGTTCGCACAGCTGTACGTGCCAGGGGGCCAGTGCCACGGCCTGCACCCCTTCCTCGTGCAGGTGGGCTGCGTGGGGGGGGGCGTATTGGAGACGCGGTCCTCGCCACGGGGGCGGGTGCTGCCAGCATTCTTGTGTAGACGGATGCCGCTAAGCCTCCTACAGCACAGGGGGATCCCCGAGAAAGGACCGTGCACCCCAAGGACCGGCTGCTGCTGAGCCCTGGGCCCCGGGGTCGCGGGGGGAGGATTTTCCGTCCCATCTGCCAGGTGGGCATCGGCTCCGACCCAGCCAGGTCTGGGGTCCCCTGGAGTGTGGGGTCACAAACAGGAAGTTACTGCCCAAGGAGTGGCCGTGGGACTGGGGGCCAGGCAGGGGCTCCCCAACCCGGGGCTGCTGCAGGTCCAGAGCCAGGGCTTCCGGAAGCTTCTTCAGGCCTTCCCGCCGGGCTGCCGATGCCCAGGAAAGCCCGCTGGCCCCGCCCGAGACCCAGACTGGCATGTTTGTTAAGCCCTTCCTGATGGGGGTAGGGGTAGGGGAGCTGAAATTCACATCACAGGCAATTAGCCATTTTAGAGTGAACGGTTCAGGCATTTAGTGCCTCAGAGCCCCGCAGTCCTGCCCGTCTCGCCGAAACGTGTCCTCTAGGGCACCCCCCACCCCGGGTTGGCACCACTCGGCCCCCCGTTCCCAGAATGAAGCTCCGTGTCCCGGGCGGACTGCCTGCTGCCCCGTCTCCTGTCCTGGGCCTGCTTGTTGGGAGCTCGTCGGGGAGCAGACTCAGAGAAACCATGTCGGGCGCCCGGCCAGTGTGGCTCGGGCTGAGCGTCACCCCCTGAACCAGGAGGTCACAGTTCGACTCCCGGTCCGGGCACACACATGCCCAGGTGCAGGCTCGGTCCCCAGTAGGGGGCGTGCAGGAGGCAGCCGATCAATGAGTCTCTCCCTCTCCCTCTCCCTTCCTCGCCGAAATAAAAAATATATACGTATTTTAAAAAGCAACGTTAGGCCATCTCTCCCACAGCAACATGTGCGTAGCCTCTTCGTCATTTTACTAAAACCGCCAGGAAGGCCTGCGCCTCAGGCGGGAGCATGGGGCCCTCCAGCCCTCCAGGCAGCTAACCAGCTCCCGGCTTCGTTCTGCTGTGGCCGCAGGACCAAAACCCCATGCCCAGTGCGGAGGCCCGAGCCCGGCCGGGTGTGGGCAGGGCCACTCCCGCTGGAGGGTCCAGAGGAGGGTCCTCCCGCCTGGTCCAGCTCTAGTTCCTGCCCGAGGTCCCGGGCTGCGGCCCATCACCCAGGTCTCTGCTCCGTCTCCTCTCACTTCCTGTCCTCCTGGCTCTCCTGGGCCACTTGTCCTGGGATTTGGGTCCCGCCGGAGTAATCCGGGGAGATCTTGCTGTTGGGGTCCAACCCCAGCAGGTCCAAGGGTCCCCAAAGGTGTGGATGGAGTCGGCGAAGAAGGAATGACACGGAGACAGCGTTCAGTTGATCAGCAGCCTAGCCAGGCTCTCTAGCCAGGATCTCCAGCCAAGCTCTG